ATCATTTTACTAGTCTGTGTATTATAATTTGTAGATTATGATTTTATAAATCTTAAGGTAAATAAGATTTACCTTATCATTTTACTAGTCTGTGTATTATAATTTGTAGATTATGATTTTATAAATCTTAAGGTAAATAAGATTACTGCTAAAAGTAAGGATAAACTTACAGATCATTATTGTGCATGTAAGTAATGACACTGTTATTCATTTTCATCTCAAAACCCAAACAGTTTCTCACTGAAGCAGAGCTGAGGGCCCCGTTCATCAAGAGGAACAACATCTAGGATGTTTGTTCTCAGATCTCTTTAATCAGAGCCTTGGGATGGGGTGTATTGCTTCAGTATTGCCTTTCAAATGACCTCTTGAGTTTATTCTTAGGATATGTGTAAAGCACTGGCATATATTAATTTGTCATTTACCTGACATAAATATCAATCAATTTTGTATTCTCTCTTTCTTTCAATGGATTCTAATAGACACAGAAAGTGAGACTGAGTTTGAGAATAAATACATGTATTATGAGTAAGTATTAGACATTTTAAAAATTACAAGTCATTATATTTTATATAGTAGTTACTATATTTCTCTGAAACATGCTTTTATTGTTTTCTCTGTTAGATTTCCAGAATTTCCTACAAATCTCTTTATAGATCCCAACAGATTGGAGTTTTCAGTAAAAATTCAAAATATGTTGACTAATATGGAAAAATGTATAAGTAAGTGTTTTTAAAGCTTAGTGAAGTGCATTGTCTTCTTTGGCAATATTTTCTTAAATTTAGGCACCTGATGCTTTTACCCAGGGATGTGACAGATGTTACAGAATGTTAGTCTATCATAAATTCACAGTCCTTGGGATCAGGCACTGTGAATTTGGAATTATTTGATGATGTATGAATTTTACACATAGCCTTAGAGAGCATAAAAGATGGGAATTGGGAAAATATTCACGGTTTGGATTTTTTCAGTTATGTTCTATAGAATGTTATGACACTTAATACAAATGAGCAAGATCTTTTATGTCATAGTGTAACAAAGATACTGTTTCTACCTTAAAGAGATTTTAATTATTTTGCAGCTGTGTGTACACAATCTGAAATTGCAGGCAATTACTAGCCTGACCAAAGAATTTATTCTTTTCTCACAGTAAGTTTTACAAAGATCTTAAAACAGCAGGACTTTTGGCAACTTCTTAAATGTTGCATCATTCTCCAGTCATGTCACCATAGTTTGCTGAGTTCAGAGGGCTCCTATTTCCAAGCTAAGCTGGTATCTCATGCATTGTTTGATTTTGTTTATGCAAGTCCCAATAATTCAGTCTTTTTCACTATGCTTTGTAACTACCACCACATATTAAGTTACTCCATTTCCCCAAACTGGCCAAAATGTAGTCAGTATGTCCCTTGGCATCTCATATTTATTTTAAAGTTTGCATTGTATTATGAAGATGAAATGTGCATAAGAACATGGGCTTGTTTTAAAATCAAGAATTATCACAAAGTTGTTATAATTTTTTTTACCCAGTCCATTTTGAATCAGCTTGGTAAGGGTTTCTTGCTGAGTAAAATCCAGAGATATTAGTATTTTGCAACATTATACACTTATGGACATTATAAACAACTGTGCTGTCTTGATAGGATGACCCCTCCCATACTCATTTTCTTCAGTAGCCCAAAATTTGTTTTACTGCCTTCTAGCTTTTAATAATGTAAATAAGAAGTCTGATGCTACTGTGATTTTCCTTCCTTTGTATACTTGTGATTTCTGTCTAGTAATTTATCATTTGAAGTAGGAACTTTTCTATAATAAAGTCATATATATAATTCTATGTTAAGCTTTCTTAAAATCCAGTGAGGCTCTTCAGTCTGAAGAACTAAGTTTTTATCGGTCTTTCCATATGTTCCTTTTTTCCGTTTGGATTTTTTGTTTTTCATCTTTAGATTTCCTGGGTCTAAACATCCGATTATTTCTATTTCTTTTTTCTTTGTTATGAAATGTTTCTACTATTTTATTTAAGTTTCTATTATGAGATAATTTGAGACTTCTGTAAGTTGCAAACATACTACAGAGTTTCTATATACTCTTTATATGTTTTAATCTAACCACAGTATAGTTATGAAAATGAAGAAATTACTATTAGTATAATAGTGTTAATGAAATGATAGATTTTATTTGGATTTTCCCAGTTGTTTCCTTAATGTTCATTTTCTGTGCCAGGATCTAATCCCAGATCACATGTTGCATATATTAATAGTTGTTATGTCTGTTAAATCTTTCCAATCTGTACCAGTTGCTCAATCTTTCCTTGTCTTTTATGACTTTGAGATCTTTGAAGAGTACTGGTAACTTACTCTACAGATTGTCCATCAATTTTGGATTGTCTGATGTTGTCTCATGATGAGTTTGAGATACACATCTTGGGGGACAATACCATACTGAGTGTGTGCCCTTTTAAGTATATATCAACCTGGTAGTACATGACATTGATGAACCTTTTTACTGGTGATGCTCACCCTGACGACTTGGTTAAAGTCATGTCTGCCAGGTTTCTCCATGATGAAGTTACATTTCCTCCTGTAATTAGTAAACTTGGGGTGGGAGGAAAAGTTTTGAGATTATACGCATATCTTATTTCTCCTGAAAATTTTACCTACTAATTCTAACATTTATCAGTGGACCTTGCCTTGCCTGTGGCAGTTATTACTGTGGTGTTCTTAATGGTGATTTTCTGTTGATTTTATCCCATATACATTCATAAATTAGAATTCTTCTGTAAGGAGTAGCTGTTCCTTTTCCATTTATTTAATTTCTCAGTCATTTATTTATATGAATATGGACTCACTAATATTTGTATATATACATACATATATGATAATTGCATATACATACATACATACATATATATATATATACATACATATGTATATATGTATGTATATATGTGTGTATATATATTTACCTTAGAAATCACTTAAATCACCCCATTTCAACTACCCATATATGACAACTATTTCGTTTTGCAATTTACATTTATATTCATACATTAGTCAAATGTATATTTTAAATGTTATATGATCACTTAGTGTTATATCACAGATATTACAAAGGCATTTAGAACCTCTTCTAGAAGGCTTCAGTGTATGGTATCATAGAGAGGCCTTCAAAATGATCATATTATAAAATCATTCTCTCACTTATTTTCTAATTCTATTATGATTTCATTTTTATATTTAAATATTTGTTCACTCTGAGATTTATTTGGCATCTGTTGTGAAGTAGGACTTTACTTTTAATTTTTTCTCGGATGACTAATCTGCCTGTCCCAACATCATGTATTGACTAATCCATTCCTTATCCCCACTGATTTGAAATGCCACATTTATAATTTTTTATATTCCAGAATGTTTTCCATTTTATTTCTGGGCTATGCAGATGACATGTCTGTAACTTATGTACCAGTATTATACTGTTTTAGTTATTATGTAGCGTTGTACTATTTCTAGCATCTATTAGCCATCTCCTTTTTCACTTTTTTTCCCCTGGAAATTTCCTGGGTTCGTTGATATTTATTTTAGTCTTTAGACTATAATACAGTATTATTGTTATCTATTTTCTTGCTCAAGTTGTTCTGGCTTAGTTTTGAAAGAGTGATTCTCCCCAGTTGGCTCCTGTGCCCTTCAGTGTACCTCCATCCTTTTCTTGTGACTACTTCCTTAGTTTCTGTCACCTCAAGATGCTTCAGGCTCATCTTGTGTTTTCTCTGTCCAGCCCTGGAATCAACTGTTTCTCCAAGGAACCCTGGATTAAAGAAGGAAATTTAGAAATTAAGAACTACACACTAGATGTGCTCATTGCTACAGGAGTGTCACTACTTCCTAGCCTATCAGAGAAAATACCTAGAAAATGTATGTGTGTATACTAGCTCATGCATACACACACAACTATACTTATTCCTAGATCTTTTTGTTTGTCCATTTTAAACTATGAATTCATACTGATACCTCAGACCCCAATCCAACTCCTCAGGATTCATTCTAACCTTTTCCTTATATGTAACTTTTTTCTCTGGCTATGAGAAATCAGGGTGACATAATCAACTAATCAACTAATAACTCGTTTGTTATGCAGTCATGCACTGCATAAAGATGGTTCAATCAATGACAGACCACATGGTAGTCCCATAAGATTATAATAACATGCTTTTGCTGTGTCTTTTCTATGTTTCAATATTTAATCCTTACTACTCTTTTACAATTGCCTACAATATTCTGTATAGTAATATGCGGTACAAGTTTGTAGCTAGGGCAACAGGGTATGCCATATAGCCTAGGTGTGCAGTAGGTTTGTGTAAGTACTCTGTGATAGTCACACAATGATGAAATTGCCTAAGGACACACTTCTCAGAATGTATCCCTGTCATTAATTGCATGGCTGTACATGTAATTTCAGAATTGCTACTCCATACTTCTGTGAAAAACAAATGTATCAACTAAAATATAGTGTGTTTATGTACAGTTTTAAAAAAAATATAACCTTAGAGTTTCCAGTCCAAACTTGTTTTCTGAAGTTGCTCATGTTAACTCCTTTCTTTCCCACCCTTTTCAGTGAGGTTATGTAGTTTGTTTGTAATACAGTTAGATTAATTTGTTACAGGCTGCATTCCAACTTGGATTCTTTCAGTAACCTGGTTAACTTTTTATAACTTATATAAAGTACAGTTTTCTCTTCGTGGGTGGTGTTAAGGTTTTGACAAGTGCACAGGTACATGTCCACCATCACAGATCCATATAAAACAGTTTCATCATCCCCCAGTTCCCTTGTGCAGCCCTTTTGTAGTCACACTCTCCCCATTCCCTTATCTGTGGCAACCACTTATCTGTTTTCTGTCCCTATTGTTATGTCATTTCCAGAACGTCATATAAATGCATATGTAGCTTTTTGGATCTGGCTTCTTTCACATAGAAAAAGGCATTTAAAATTCAACTTTGTTGACCGTGTACAGTGGTTCACACCTGTAAACCCAGCACTTTGGGAGGCCCAGGTGGGTGGATCACTTGAGCCCAGTAGTTCAAGACCAGCCTTGGCAAGATGGTGAAACCCTGTCTCTACAAAATATACAAAAAATTAGCCAAGCATTGTGACACACACCTGTAATCCCAGCTACTTGGGAGGCTGAAGTAGGAGGATGGCCTGAGCCCAGGAGGTCAAGGTGCAGTGAGCCAAAATTGTACCACTGTACTCCAGCCTGAGTGACAGTGCAAGACCCTGTCTCAAAAAATAAAAAATAAAAAAAGTATCCATGTTGTTACATGATTCAATAGTCTTTTTTTAAATTGCTGTGCTGTATTCAATTGTCTGGATGTATCACAGATTGCTTATCCATTCACATCTGGGTTGTCTCCAGTTTGGGGAAATTATAAGCAAATTGCTATACACATTCACATATAGGCTTTTGGATTAATACAAGCTTTCCTTTTTCTTGGACAAATATCTAGGGGTAGGATTGCTGGGTCATATGGTAGTTATGTATTTAACTTTATGAGAATGGCCAAACTGTTTTGCAAAGTGGTTGTATGAGTTACAGTTGCTCCATATCTTTGCCGCACTTGGTATTGCCAGAGTAAAAACAAAAACAAAAAACTTATAGCCTTCTAATACCTGTGTAGTGATATCTCTTTGTGCGAATTTTCATCACTAGTAACAAATGATATTGTTCATC